TTAATAAAATTTATTAAAAATATAATAATAAAAAAATATCAATACACAATTTGTTACAAACACTGTCCTGTTTTTTTTATATTAACCTTAATTTTTGCCCCCCACTTTAAATAAATATCATAAAAATTGCCCTCAAACGCGAGGTGACGCCACCAGTGGAAATGGGAGGTGATCCTCCCCCGGGGCTTCACAAAGGTCATTTCGACCCTCTGGCGTCGGTGAATATTCAGCTGACGCATATCGTGGGCAATCCCTTTGAGAACCTGGATTCTGATTCCTATTGGTACTTCTTCCCTGAAAAGAAAAAACATGGATATTAAACAATAGGTAATTAGATATTATATATACACATATATGAGTGCACATTAACAGAAAATTTTCTACTTACATCTCTGTGTCTTCTCAGTTTTCTGACTAGACTCGCTGTATTTAGAAACATTCGTTCCACTGTGACACCGAAGTGCAATGTAGAGCTTAATATACCCCCCCAATTTTTTGAAACACCCCCACCGCTAAGCCACATTAGGGCTACCAGCCTCCTGATTGGTCCTCATTATTAGGACGAACCTTTCCCTTCCAATGCGAAGGTGGTGTGGATGCATTCAAGCAAGAAGAAGAATTTTGATCAACAGTGATAATCGATAATGAATAGTCTACCTTAATGTTAGTCGTCTTGGAGGAAGTCATCATTTATGTATATTAGTTTTTACAGAATTATAATAATCATCTTGAAGTTTAGATATATCAGATTAAAAGGTAAAAAAAATGTATAATAGAAAATTTATTTGAATTCGCCTTAAAAACTCTAAAACTATACTTCTATGCTCTAAATTTGTATTTCGCGTTAAATCCGAGCTCTAGTTATGACCTGACGTTTTTATTTCCTGAACGTAAGCTAAGAAAGTATAATAAATAATCGAGTCCATCAGATGACTTGTCATTTTCATATTTTCTCGAAGTTTCATGACGCCTAGGTAAGAAACATTTGGTTTCCCTTTTCCATCTGTCTGTCCGTCTATTTACGTGTGTCGATTTTTATTAGACTTACAATCTTCGAAACTACCAGACCGATTGTTGCCAAATCATTTAGATGGTAACACGCTTCACAAAATTTGACAAATCATCCCCACCACCAAAAGAGTGAGTAGAATAAGTTACTTCTGTACATACTTGCGGTGTATGAATCCGTGTCTAGTTTTTCCCTAGACATCTAAATTTTATAACAATTTCAACAAAGTATAATGCAAGTTTTAAAACGCCAAACTCACATAGTATGACTGACTTTGTGTTCAATTAATAAACTGTCCCACGACTTGAGATCAGTCAAAAATATAAATAAAGTATTAAATTAATGTTCAGCCAGTTATGTTTAATTGAGCTTAATCATTGAAAGTTTTACACAGAGTTATACCTGTTAAAACTCTGCACGTGGTCCTAATCCGTCTAAAAGTTTGGGGCAAAACTACCTGTGAGGCGAGGGTCACCTGCACGTGGCACGGTGGTCAATTTACCACTGTGGGTGGTTCAACTCCTGTTGTGCTCAAACAAAAGATTATAAAGGTTATCAGTTCTTAAGAGCTGGTAGAAATTAGTATAGTCCTGGCAAATTGAAGTGGCAGACCTAACTTTACCATAAAAGTGTTTACTTCGGTCAAGAAATATTTACTACCTTTCTATTTATGAATAAGCAGACAATGAAAATAGAAACAGATCAGGTAGAAAAAAGAATGGAAGGGTAATAAACATTATTTGATAGAAGTTCACACATTTGCGGTAATCCTATTGGGACCTTAATAGTTAGGTCAGCATTACGTTATTCCTTAGCCCCTTTACTGTCCAACAGATTAAAACATTAATATTTATAATAAATTTAAATAAATAATTCGATTAATAGAGTAATTTTGCATCGTTGAGTCCATTTCTGGTGTCAGTTGTTGACTATCTTTATTATTTTAAACGAAATTCTTCTTAAAACAAAAGTCAAAAGGCAGATTTCAAGTTTGATTGGTCTCAAAATATAGGACGGTGTCATTTTTCGTGAGTGTCGATAAATAATAAATTTTGAAAAAAAATTAGGACGGCCCGAAGGCATTTTTAGAGAAAATATTCTTTTTAGGAATCTCTAATTTATACGTATAGAAATGTTCACGATAATCTGGGAATAAATTCGAAAATGTTTCAGTAGCTCAGCACAAATGGATTTTGCTGAGCTTCTGGGAAAGATTTTATTTCATGTTCCACGGCTTTGTTGTAGAGCAGCATTGTTTTTATACTCTCCTGCAGCTCATACAAATATACGTATTACTGAGATCTTCAATTAATTTAATCTGTATGTTGTATAATAATAAGTTTAAAGGATTGGATGTCTTTTACCTTAATCAAATCAATTTTAGGAAATTAGCAACGAACATGATAAATTAATGACTCTAATTTATTTTTGTTAAGTACATTATTATTTAGTTACTTAGGATTTGCTTTATATTTTTGTTTTTATTAATATTTAAATCATCGGTTCGACCTTGTTTCTTTTGCTTAATTGATAGTTATTAATATTACTCTGTAATAGTTAGGTTCTAGGAACTTGTAATATATCTTAAGCTGTAATTCTCATGTAATTCAATTTGACATTTCGTTAAAATCACGCATGCGCCATTCCCATCTGCAATGTGACCGGACCACGAAGCTCTCGCGGTCTCGCGTACCGAACGTTCATGTAAATTGGTTGTACTTGGTAAACGCAAACTAAAATTGTTCTCACCTCGCTTAATTATCGTTACCGTTCCGGCAATCCGAAACTACAAGTTCACGAAAATGTCGTGGAGCAAGGCATTCTGAAATATTTGCTGACGTACCTATAAGTTAAGCCAAGACCACCTCGAATTGTTTTTTTCTTCTAATAGACCTAGGAGTGGATTTGATAACAACCCAACTCCTCGACAATATATATTAATTAAACTCTCTACGGAAATAGGAAAATATATTGACAGTGCATGCGCACTAAGAAATTTTCTTTCGCTAGTTCATACTTTTTAATTTTTATTATTCTATATTCTATAACTTCCGAGATTCTAAAAAACGCTTGTATCAACAAATTATTTATAACATAATTGAAATTCTGAGTAAAAATCGATTTAGCCTTTAAAATATCGATATCGGACGTACTCGCAGTGAATCGATTCGATTCCGATCTTTAAAATCGATCTCCCCACCTCTACATTCTAATTGGCGCGAGGAAATCTCGATGACAGTTCGCGATCGCGTGACCTCACGAAGCCCGCTTGAAAAAGCTGAAAGTTTCACGTTAACGCCGGATTTCATTCATCGTACTCGTGCTGTGTTGTGAAAGTACTGCCTCCCCGTTGATGATTTCAGTGATTATTTCGCGGTCAGTCAACGGGATGAAAGGTCGAGATTATTTGTACTAACTATCTTAACTGTGTGGTTCATTAGTGCGCAATAATTCTTCACACGAGTTCTGTGCACATTTAAGTAAAGTGACTTCAACGCTGCGTGAGTGTGAAACACTTACGAAACTTCCATTTGTTCTGTGTAAGATTCAGTGATTTAGTGATTACGTTCATTTGTAGGATTACTCTTTTGCTGCTATTATGGATTACGTACGACAGATACGTAAGTTGAGGATTTTTATTTTGTAAATAAACTGTGGCACTGTGGCTTTTTATGTGTGATAATTTAATTCATACATAAAAAATCCCATAAGCCGCGATGAATTTGTCACTTTAACATCGGATAAATTTAACCCTAATAACTTTGCATCTGGATAAAATATGGGTAAACTTCCATGGCATACTTTTTCAAACCTGATTATTGTTGGTTGTTATGATAGCGAATGAACAATTTTAAAAATTGACAAACAATTGGTGCAAAATGGCGAATTGACCGCGTTTTGGTACTTCGGATAAACGAGAAATTGAGAAAAGTGTAGGAGAAGCGACCCCAAAAAATACAGTTAATACAAAAACGTCAATTTGGCGACAGTTCAACTTTAAACGAATTTATTTTTGAAATTTTCATATTTACCTAGCTTTATTTTTTATTATTCATTATATTATCTCATCGAATTACGCTAGAGGTCTTTTTCTCCAGGATAAAATTTCATTTTCTAAAATCGAATTTGGTTTCTTTTGGGTAAATTGATTCCACAAACCATCAGCTAAATGATGATTAGGTAAACTTTGGTTAGCGTTTTTTGTTAATAAATAAAAAAATTGACAACAACCGGCCCAGTACTTTCGGAGATTATTTGTCTAATAATAATCCGGCAAACAGACGGACCGACGGACAGACAGACGGAAACGGGAGACCTATTTCTTCATCCTCCAGGGGTCATGATAGGTCGAGAAAATGGAAAAGTAGAGAGTCGGCCGACGGACTCGAGTACACAATACTTCCTTTGATTACGCTCGGGAAGTAAAAATTGAATTAATTTGTCATTTTTATGTCAGAACATCAGTTTGATTGAGGGTATTGTTGATGTGTCAGTGTCAGACTTCTAAATACTAAATGATTCTTTAATAGGTAAACAGTATATAAAAAATTTTATAATCTAACCAGCAATATATCTATTTTCAGTGGTTAAATGCGAGGTAATTAGAAACCGGCAGAGAAATATCTGCTTTAAAAAATTATTAAACACTGGGTCATTTTTACATGTTCCAGGTGAAGTTCAATGTTAATAAAATAACAAATATAAAAAAGAGGGAGGGGCTGATGTTGATTTATCTAACACCCATTATAATTCTTGAACCTAATTTAGATGCAAGAACAAGATTTATCTCCCCGAAATAATTGTGATAAATTTTAATGATGAACTGATATATTTTTGCAAGACTGAACGTTGTACTGATACACTCTTTTACTAACTAACACTTACTTCATTATTAGGTAAACGAGGAAACTCCTAATAGGATTCTCACAAGCCAACATAAAAAATAATGAACAATACCTACCGCTACTATCCCGGGCATTAATCTATTTAAATGTACAAAGGCGTTAAAGGCCACATCTGTAAGATCCCATTAGAGTTTGCATTATTTAGCTATTGGAGAGCAATTTTAAATTATCCCGAGCCATTTATACCCATTCTGCGTAGAGAAAAGGTTTGAAACAAGGATCAACATAGCTACACATCAGCGTACTTATTCTATAAATTTAAATTTTTAAGGCAACTCTCGTTACTCTTTTTTAACAATGTTCCTTTTTTGCAGTGTGCTTAACGACCGTCGGTTTAAGTTTGGTCTATGGTCGACAACAATATTTCCGAGTGCAACCTCGGGATGTTCAAGTGCGAGAAGGTGGTGAGGCCATGTTGGAATGCGAGGTAGCTAATTTGGCGGGTCAAGTGCAATGGGCGAAAAATGGATTCGTCTTAGGTAGGAATTTTTATTTTGTGGAAGATAAATGATTCCTTCATAAATCGATGCAAAATGACACGAATTTTACATAACAAAAATTCGTTACATACGCAAAAAAATCACTTTCACTGAATGTTTTTAAGTTTTAAAAACGTACCGACTTTCCAAGAAAAGCGATTTTTGCAACTCATAAACAGATCAGCCAGAGGCAAAAGCCAGTATAAACTTTCTTTCATAAACCAAGACCGAAGCACTTTTTGAATTTACTTGGTAGTATAAACCTAAATTAGATTTGTCAGCGTTGTCATATGACCTGCTCTGAGGACGTTTACAGCGCTAAGTTTGTAGTGGACTGACCCATATCCTCACCTAAATCCGACCTACATAGTCCTCTTTTAGTCTGGGTTTACATCAGCAACTCAAGACAACCGCACGCGGGCAAATGTTTCAGGAGTTTTTGGAGCACATGCATTTCTAATTCTGGTTTTTAAAGCTTCACAATTATGAATAGGACTTTGGTAAACTTGTTCTTTTACAACATCCCAGAGGAAGAAATCTAAAGGTGTTAGTCGGGACTACGAGGGGGCCATGCAGTCACACTGCCTCTGTCAATCCACTTATTTGCAAACGTCTCATCAAGATAGTCCCTAACGACTCTGTGATAATGAGGTGGTGCCCCGTCCTGTTGAATGCACAGCTCTTGTCGGAGATTAAGAGAAACATTTTCTTATAACACCGGAAAATCTTTCAGCCCCAATCACGAGTATGAAAACAGACACTTATCTGTCGGTAATGATTAAGAATGGGGTCGCTCAATGGGGGGTCTCCACCCCCTAGCCCGCTCCTTGTCGATCAGCAGTTCCAACTCACGGTGTCGTCTTCGGCGTGCGATCTTCTGGTGATGTTGTTGAGTTATTTCAAATCGCCCTAGCTGTACAGTTTGGGATGTACTCCTGTTCCTCACAACACAACTTGACTCCCCGGATCACCACGACCGAATCCCCTTAAAAATGGAAGACTTCCTCCTCCATCCCCTCTTAAGTAAAACCTTTAATTAGCGTCGTACGCGTGTATTGACATATTTGACATCAAGATGGTGGATTGTTTACATCCGGAAGTTGTACGGTTATTTATATATAGGTTCGCGTAGGCTTATAATGATCGTACTTGATGAGATGTTGTTAGTACAAGTCGCAAAAGAATTAGAGTGAAGAGAAAGTGATAGTAAAGTAAGAATGGAAACATAGAAGAAGGGTTGCACTGTTTGGGGTGTCGACAAAGAGTGGAAAGAAAGGGAAGACCTTCCCCAAAACAGTACAACGGTACTTTGGGAAATAGAGGAGAGAAGACGAGAGGAAAGTTAAAAGTGTAAAGAACGAGATTTGAGTGGTATGGCACCCAGGAGTGCAGAGTGACACCCCTGTGGCTTATAGCAGCCATCCGCTGACATGGGAGGGGTAACAGGCGTGGTTCCCACCGCCCCATATTGGCTGGCGCCAAAAAAACAAAAATCAAAACGGAAAAAAAATTACCATTAAAACCTGAAAATCCAGAGAAAAACGAACATATGCAACCAATTATACTTAATTTGACTACCTCAACACTACTATATATTCTTTTAGGCCCTTTACTCTTTAGTTGTCGTTTATGGTGTTCAAGACCGATGTTAAGCACCCAAGCATTTGTGTGGCCCTTTAAAATACGCCCCACACACCGGCAAGTAAAAGTAGCGTACTACAAAACCTCCACTAAAAATTCCGCTTACACAAATTAAAAACGAATCCTACAATGTTAATTAAATCATGTTTTGTTTGTCCACAGGGTTCTCGTCGGTTATTCCGGGTTTGCCTCGACACTCAATGGTCGTTGACCGTCCTCACGGCATATACAACTTGAGGGTGAGCAATGCTTCCCTAGAGGACGACGCCGAATATGAGTGTCAAGTGGGACCGGCAAAGCCTCATAAGGCAATTCGAGCAAAAGCCAGGCTCAACGTCATGTGTAAGTACCTGAGTGTTTGATTAAGGTTAGGTATTTCACACGTTCTCGAACGCAGTCCTGTTTTTTATTTAGTAAGCAGCCATGCAGCGGCTAGGGGTAAACTCCTTTTGCGTAGTGACAACACTGACGGCATTTTATGTACAAATGTAACATCTTGGTAAGAGATATTGTTAATATACACATAGTTACCATCGGGGACACGGAAAACTGGGCAAAGGTGTAACACAATTGGCAAAATATCTAAACCAGGCCTTAGCTATTCATAACCACGCTTTTAATGTTTGGCGTATTTCTCATTTTGACACTGACAAAGTCGAAGTTTTATTAAATTTGTTTCAATTATATTTATTAACATGCAGCTACTGCTCGAGATTTGTTAAAAATTGATACAGCTGGCATGTCAAACCAATTGATATATTTCAGTGCTAATTTGACAGTTTTTCGAAAATATCAATCATATTGACGCGAAAGGTGCATTTACATTGACATTTTTTTAAATGACAAGAACAGACTGCCCAGAATTCCATGTCCCTCATAGTACACTAAGGCGTGATGGCCGTCCTTGTCGCAACGTATATGTTGGAAAAAGATGGTAGTAAGTCATTGGTTGGTGTGTACGTTTTCTTTTCTTTTCATAAAAATAAAGTGTAAATTCAGGGAGATATACTCTCGTGTGGAGCGAAAATCGCATAATCAGATGTTTCACGCAGTTTCAAAATTTATACGAGGGATGTCCTGGAAACATCTACGTTTCTGTAGAGTCACTTGCGACGCTGCCACAACCTGAGTTTATTAGTCAAGAGGCGTTCCATACTTGTGTAAATCATTATCCAGATTTTTTTCTTTTCTCACTGTTGAGTTTAACAGCGTAATTTCTTCCAACAAGGATGATATTTTAAATTTGTTCTTGATTTTGGCTTTGGGATAAAAGTTGATTGAGAGAACAACATTTGTAATAATAGAGCAAAACTGATGTAGACTTAATGCTTTTTTAAAATTAAAAATTGTGTTACAGTATTGCGGTTGTCGTTACATGTCTTCAGAGGTGCAAATGTAACGAATTACTTTCGTCAGTGATGCACATTTTTTATTCAAAATCAACCTTTCCCTACTGATATAATAATTTGTAGATGGCAACAAATAAAAAAAGTCTAAATAATAATAAATTAAGGAAAAAAGCAAATGTCTTTTCAGTGGCGTTCTCTTTTGCTTTTGTTAAATCAAAGCCTCTCTTTACATCTTGGCTTAAATTTTAGAGGTGAGGGGACAAGAAAAATCAGTTTGACTCACTCATTGCAATTGTCTAACAAAATCAGGTTGCCTTAGTTTCACTGAGGACCTTTCACATATAAAATTAACCAATTAGAGGTGGTAAAAGTAACATCACCTACTAAAAGAAACTAATATTTAATTATATACATATGTGTTGTAAAAGGGTGCAATAATGGAAGTTTCTCAAAATTACTTTCTTGACTTTCTTGAAAACACACAGTGACTATATGTAAATTTTAAAACTCTGACAACAGTAAATCGGTTACATCATACTATTTTCTCCATCATTTTGGCACCCAATTTGCATACAACATGGAGGTCTGGTGGCGTCTTCTTTTGAAATTATTATAACCGAAACTTGAGCAAGCATTTTAGTGAACAATAGACAAACTTGTTAAATTTAAAGGGGTTAAATTGCAAATTTCCATAGTAACGAGTTAAATTCCTAAATCTGATTGGCTGTTTATTTCTAACAACTTTTAAATTTTAACACATACAGATTTGGGTCTGTTGTAGGTTAGACCACATTATTATAAAACTTTAAAAAGTCACAGTAGTGACTGAAACTTGCGAGTTTGTTTTCTAAAAAAAGCTCGTATTGAAGTAGAAAGTCTATGACACCACCGGCGCCGGGTGGGTATTATGTGTATTTAAACTTTAAACACATACATATCTAAAATGTGCAGAATCTCAAAACAACGTTACCATTTTATAGATAATAAATAAATAAAAATCAAATTAAAAATACAGTTATAATGTAAATGTTTTTTCACTTCTTTTATATCTACAATCAACAATTTCGAAGATATGGTGTAAAATCCTATTAGTGTGTGTTAAAAATTGAAACCATTTGCCATATTGCAAAATAATGGTTTAATTGATTAACCAAACCAAAATGGAATATTCTAACTCACTTAAAACAAAGGCTTAGAATAGTTGTTGTTTCATCATATTAATATCATTAAAATTACGATTTACACGCATTGCAAAACCTAAGACCTAGATGCAGAAGAACTTACACTATTAAGATGGTCCCGAAAAGTTAAACTAGGGGCGAAGATCACTCCAAGATCCTTTATTACCTCCATTTTGCTAATTAAATGATCATCAATTAAATAATGAGTGTCCATAAAATATAAAGCTTTAGTTAAGGTAACAAAGCAGCTTTTACCATAATTAAGAATTAATTTAAGTATATTTGGCACACCATCTTGTAGCTAAATCTAAATTATTTTGTAATAGTAGGAATGGATCTGCTCGATAAATATAATTTGATGTCAGCAGCATACGCCAGAACAGGGCAGGAGAAAGAAGAAATAAGATCATAATATAAATAATAACGGACCTAGGTGGGACCCTTGAGGTACACCTGAACCAGCTACAAACTCACTTGATGCAAACCCATTAATAATAATAATAATAATAATAATAGTAAAGTACCTTACGATATTTAGAAATTGCAGCTATTTTTCCATAACGATGTAATTTGGTAAAAACTGGTCTGATCGATGTCACTTATACTCGTAACTGCGTTGACTTGCGTCTTTGTATGCTGTCATGGTCCGTTGTTATAAAGAAATTTTTAGATTTGAATTGAAACAGGGTTGTTTCTCACAGAAAGACCTGAATATGCCTCAACGATATACTGGCCAATTACTTTTATATTCGTACCGATAAACCGCAAATAAAACAGACGTAGAGATCTTGTATATAGCTATTTTGTCATATCGAGTAGTCTTAATGAAATTGATGTTGGATTTCTAAAGCGGGAGGGTTGAATTTATCGAAATGTCAACAATTTATTTTATCAGATTTCCTTCTATAAAAAAATTTACATTTCACTCTTTTCAGCGCCGCCCTCATCCGTTGAAATTTTAAACTACCGGCATTTTTCAAAGATAGAAATAAAAGAAAATGAAGAGTTCCATCTCGAATGCAGAGTGCGAAATGCAAAACCGGCAGCAAAAATTGTCTGGTACAGAGGAAACGTAGTATTAAACATACGTAAGCACTTTAAATATTTGCTCGACTTAGGATGACAAACTTTTTCACTGCAGCCAATCGCGATGATCAAATAATTGAAGTTCCCGGGAACAACGGGGACAAAAGATTTACCAGATACGACACGCATTCTCGCATATCGTTGAAGCCAACAGCTCAAGATGATCATGCCGAATACACGTGCGAAGCGATGCACGAAGCATTATCTTCCGACATACCTATGAAAACATCAGTGCAGTTTAGTGTATTTTGTAAGTAACTTCACTCTTTATCGTTTAACACATTCTGACTCCGAATGTGCTCAGATCCGCCTGGTTTGCCATATATTGAGGGGTATACGGAAGTACCTCCGTCTAATTCGTCACCCAGCTTAGATAAGGAAAACTTAAGAAATTTCTCCGATTTCCTTATAACAGTGGGCACTATTGTGGGCACCTTAATAATATTAATGAACCTCTTGCTCATCAGTTGTTTCTTACACAGAATATCCAAGAAACGGATTTCAGGTAATTAATAAGTTTTATTTCCTTTTGTCCAATGTACAACGATCATATCGAGAAGATTTACCCCACCAGATTTGTTGGATAAACAAGATTTACCGAGAATTGTTATTTATTAGTGTTTCTGTTATTGGTATTTTCTTTTTAATTACCAACATCGAATTAGTTGCCGGTTGCATGCTTAAACTAAGACTTAAAATAATCCGACATTCGTTTTCACATTTGATAGTTTATTTATTCGCCTATTTTATTGATCGCAGTAGTTTATATACTCGTTTCATATTTTTTTCAGAACAAAGTAATCAAAGTCGTACATCGGCTACCATCGAAATGTGTGCTCCGAATAGCCACAACGATACCGTCACAGGTGAAACATTGTCCTCAGTTAATGAGAAAAGTGCAACTTACAGTAACGAAGGAAGTAACAACGACTACGTGGTAAGCTTTTTTTTAATAAATACTGTAGCGCTTTTCATTTTTCACGACATGATCAGTACTAATTCATTTCAAATTTTCTACTTTCTTTGATTATACAACTCACTTGTGATTCTAAATAGACCAAACTGACTCTTCAATTACTCATCAATATCCTCAACGACTGTGTTTGTGAAAATGATGAGAACTCTGAAAGATTTGTAGTTTCGGTAACTAAAGGATGAACCCTTTCTATTTTTGTAAAACTTTAAAATATTTGCAAAATAATATAATTAGATTCATGATCACAGACAACAAGATGTGAATACTGAATAAGCCTTCAGATAGTGTTTTTATTTGACACAGTAGCTACATGTGTGTAATCGAAAAGATAAATAAATTATTATAAATTCAATAGTTTTGCCTTAAAACTATAATATTATGACGATGAAGATTTTTCAAAACGCCATCACTTTTTAAATGGGTTTTTTTCTTAAATTTTATATCATTAAGTCTTTAATGAAATAAGAATTTTTATCAGAATAGGTTACCCCTAATCTTACAACTGTGTGAAAAATTCATTGTTTTCCGAGTGCAGCTTAGGCTTAAGGAAGTAAACTCTGGGGTATAAAAAATCGTTTCTGAACAATACTCTCCGATTGCTCCATCCAAAACTTATTTTTTATTAATTTTTCTATTGCATACTTTTGAAGTGATTTGTTTGTTCATTTAACATAAATATCTGTCGTTAAAAGTTTTAAAATGTTGTAATGAAATGATTTTTTGTAACTTTGTAAAGTATGTCTACAGTAAATCATTGACAGCAAACAACGGGGAAATATCATTTACTTATGCACAACAGTGTGAATGAATAAACACATGCGTTTTTCGCAAGCAACGCCAACTCGATGACTTTTTCAATTGAACATCCATTACTACAGAACAATAGTGTCACTACCAAGAACATGTGTATGAATAATATCTATTAAAAAGTTGGTTTTGAATTCGAAAATTATATAAAAAAAAGGGAACAATGAAAAAAAAATAAAATTAAGTGGTTGTGTTAGTTTTACGTGGTTGTACGTCGTAATAGTTTTCACGAAAAGTGGCATTTGTTTACGTATCTTCAATGTTCTGTTCACGGGGGTAGGTGTTTCTAAAAAATATACACGTATGTAAATGTATATGGTATATGGTAATTTAATATGCACAGACATGTATTCTCAATGTGGTACACATTGTTATGGCATAAATACAGTTTATTGTAAACAGGGCGCAAGCCAGATTTGTTCCGGGAATTTGTTACTGTTCATGTTGTAATACACAAAAAGAAAACAACAAAGTGCGTTCTATTGTTTTGCGGTTTTTTTTTTTTAATTTTCATATATATGTACTGCGTCTAATATACCGGATTTCAAAGATTTGATGAAGAAAGTATAAGTTATATAGGTATACATAATTTCAATAATTATAGCTCCAACTGCTTTACAGTTATTAAAAATGAAAATACAGTCGCTCATTTATTAATTAAACTATTACATGTTGTTTATTAATTTTTTTGCATTATTTATTATTATGCCGTTGGCTTTGAAATTGATTCCACTAAAACTGCACAAAACAAAAATATGATGCAATTTTTTTCACACATAATTTTAAAACAACGGACTAATTTCGTTGTTTCTTTACTATAAATAGTTATAGTAATAACGATATAAATGGAAAGGAAAGTAACGCCCGAATATTTTTGCTAGGAGGATGACCCTAAACAAGCAACAAGGATTTACTTCATGGTCGAACCGGACTACCCAGGTGTACAGCCAGTGTGTCTCAGTTATGAGCATGATAGGACCAGAGCTAGAGATGACCAAAGCCTTGACTTTCAAGGCACTATGACAGGTAACTAACTCACTTGCTACTTACCTACCTACTAACGATCGTCTATTTGAAAAATGCAAACATTTTTAGCTGCTTGTCGATTTGTAGTGTTGCAAAACTTTCAAATAATGTAAACCTCTAAAAATATCTTTTGATATTTGGTGCTAAAAGTTTTTAGTCTACGAGAAGACTTACAGTAAGGAGTAAAGTGTTTTTTTAATTGCAGATAGACAGTGTGTTCAGATTTCTATAGATTAAACTGTTTAAATTATTATGTAAATGCAAATATCATCCTTTATTTGTAACTTTTACTCTACTTTTACTATTTTAAATCTATAGATATATTTTTCTTTATCTAAATAATTATGTTTCAAAGGACTTTCCTCTTTCTCCTATCCGAGACAATTTTTATTGGACACACATACACGTTCTTTAATCGAGAGTGGACCGATTTTCCTAAACTGCGTCAAACAATTTTATCACCTGATTCTTCGAACACTTATATGTACATATATTGGAAAATGTATAAATTTTTTATTTAGTGAATTGTACCTTGGCTCCATCCTATGAACTCAAAAATGCCAAGAAAACTTTCATGTTTTAGCTAGAGGTCAAATCTTTGTTAACATTTATGAGTTATAATATTCAGGCTCGTTTTAACCATTCTGAACTTCTTGTGATATGCGATTCATTTAGCGAAAAGAAGACGATTGGATATAGTTTCAACGTTTGTCGTTTGTAGATTCAAGGAATCAGTTCAAAAATTTCAGAAATGTAACTTTTGATGTTTTCCCTTACGACTTCATATCATCATATTTAATAAAACACATTATTTGATATGATTTTATGTCTCAAAATTCAAATACAAAAAAATTCGTTCTAAACATTTCTAATTCTTTAAGAAAAGTACGCAGTGCACAGTTTTTGCTATTCCATACCTTTTGTCGTTAAATTACATTTTTTTTTTTTTTTGTAATAGTTGACTATTCTCTATCATTTCGTTACTCGAAAGCTATTCGAAATTTCGTTATTATTACAGAGTAACATAACTGCATAAAGCTGATTTAAACAATATGGTTTTTCATAGTGTCTTCAAATTTTTTCAACTAAGAAAAAAAATTTGTCTGCATAAAACCAGCATCTGTGTAGATTGTGGTATCACATTATTTTTAAAACAAATATCTTTCAACGGAACAAATTTATTTCTCTTTATAGATAGGTGATCGATGTATGTCTAACATTCTCGTGTTCCATCAGGTTAGCCCAAGTCGGCTCAAGTAACATAGTTTTAAAATAATCAAATAAATAATGTTCACTGCGCTTGCGCAGAGGAACAAAATGCTAGAAATAAAAACAGAAAACAAATGTTAACGAACTGGCAACGCCGTTATCCTTTCTGTAACATTCTAAATTAATAAATTATAAACTTTACGCTGTCATCAAATGTGAACTCACTGAAACAAAACGAATTATTTATTGTCTTCATCTCGATGTTTTAAAATTATGTATTGTACAACTCGGTAGTTGAACACATTTTGACAAATTTCAGCAAAATCGACGTTCATAAGTGCCCCACCGCCAGCACCTCCAGCAGACGGGTCGTATTACAACATGTCCCACTGCTATCTTTCGAATCCACCACCTCTAGATTTTCAAGATCCGCCTCCAATACCGGCACTTCCTCAGGTGGATCATATGCACAACCCGATGACACCGCCTCTTCCGGCCAATGAATCTCTTCTCCGCCATCAGCGAGATGCCGTTCCATCGCCAGACGTTCTTCACAAAACCAGAGAGAATCCCCAAAGTCTCCTAGCTCAAATTCTTGAACAGGAAGGATATCTTGTCTGAGACATGGAAGATATTTTAAATGTCGTGTAAAATATCAAGCGCGACTGATGCTCAATTTTGTGAATTTAAAAAGGATCGCTGCAAAACAGAGACATATGTAATCAATTAATAACAGGGTATTTAATAAGTTTCTCAACAATAACTCTGTTAAAACAGTTAATATTGTTGTTTGCATATATTGTTAAATGTTAATTTAAGTTCTTTTTGCATGTTTTTACATGAGTAAAAAATGTTATTTACTAGTCCAATCCAACAACCAAAGTGTTACTTCTCTTAAGTTTGAATATAATTCTATTTTTCGAATTTTATGAGTTAACATTTCCTCAACTTTTGTAAGTATGGAATTAATTTTCCTTTTTCTTAGGTCTATTTATTTTCTTTTCTTATGTACACAACTTTGTTACGTTAATAAATTTTGTTCCTATAGATATTAGGAAAACAGAATTTTTATTTATTTTCAAACAAACTTATCCTCGTTTTACTCCTTACTTGTTTTCGTACAAAATCAAACAAAATGAGTAGCAAAATATCAAACCAAGCAATATGAACAAATGGACAATTCAAATCCGTACGATGACGATTTCCTTCTGAAATTCAATTTCGGTGCGATTTTAAAATAGATTACAGGACCGATGCTAGATATTTGGCCGCCCGTGAAAAAATGACTTCCACTTTCCTGAAATATATTTTTTCCATATACAGAGTGCTTTAATTTAAATGACCCACTTACCTCTTTCTTATAGGCAACCCAACATACATATAGTATCCGCTTACTTTGACTAAATATTATTATAAATTATTAATATTATTAAAATGATTATCATAGATATATCCCGTACTTTCATTACTTGCATCAGTTGGGCCATTGTTGACAGCTACTGAACTATTCAACCTATATATAAATGTTTATTATAGAATGATTGTCATTTAACTAACTAATTATAGCATTTGCTTGTTTGTGTTCTAGGACCAATTATTTTAAAATAAATTTTCACGTACTGTCGTTTTTTCCAACGTTGCTTTACCAAAGCCGTCTTACTCTTTCTTCGAACACCACAAGTTTTGTGCACTTTACTATGAATTCCCATTTTTTTAACAGAAATAAAGCAATCAAACTATTTCAAATATCAGTGAAATCGAAACACTCTCGCCAGAACGACTCTGATAAACTAATGCAAATTTTGTTCATTTAAAATTTTACTAGTACGGTCAGAGCACTTAGCTCAGGTATAAAACTTTCCGTTTTAGGGAGAGCCCAAAATTCGTTCAGTAAAATTTTTGCAATGTTGGTTGCCCACTTTTGTAATTAAAAAAATGTTAATTACCGGTTCTTCATTGACAAAAATATAAAATTAATTTAACACCTGTGTAGATTTTACTCATATAACCAAGTGTGCGAAAGCTGAATTCTGAAATATTATTATTTTTACTGAAAACCCGAAAAATGTATTTTATATTTTTTCCAATTTAAAGAAAAGTCATGTTTGTTGGCAAAAAATTAATTTAACTCCTGCCTCGAGCTTTACAAGTTGCGTTAAATATGTTAATTTCGCTTTTTCATATTTAAAAATAAAGCCTTAATCTCACATAAAAATTTATATAGGAACAGAGAATGCGTCCATCCACTGCAGACGAGCCTTAAAAGGCGAAAACAAAGTTAAAGACACTGTTGGAAATGGTATCCATTCTCCTGTGTACATAAATAGGCACGTCTTTTCATGTTATCAAACACATTTTGTGGTGTAGCAGGAATATTGCGAGCCCACTAATTCTGTTTTCTGTTCTTCTATGGTGTGAAAGGGAGTCTTAAAAATACTTGGTGTTTTTTAGATAACCTAACAAGAGATAATCCAGAGGAATTAAATTTGGTGACCTTGGGGGGAGAGGGAGGGCACCCAGGAACTGAAGGTAAACTTTTCACTTTTTCATCAAAGAATTGACGTAAAAAATTCAAATTGTCTACTGTTGTATGTTGAAAAAATCCGTCTTGGAGTTCATTATCTTGTAACTCTTGAACAAAAGTTAGGTTATTGTTTCTAGTTAGTTCAAAGAATTTGGAAAGAAAAGGTAGAGCTTTTTTTCACAATTTTATGGCATGTAGATCCCACGGAAAGGCCAACTTCTTGCGACAGGTACCTCATTGAAGTTGACGCTTTCTTCAACATCTTCTACGACTTCATTAGTACATACACAATGTTTGTCGTCCAGCACCTTTTTTGTTGTGGACACTACCTCTTTCACGAAATACTCGCACAGTGTTTCTTAACAACGTTGTAAAAATCAGCAACAATTAAATAATTATATTCTGCAAATTTTTGTTGGAATTCTTGTAAAACACTGATTTTCTACTTCTACGGCTTTTGTTGTTTTCAGGAAATTACCAAAAGTATTAACAGTTTTTAACGTGTATGTATGTTACTTAATAGGATTAATTTAAGCAGTTGATCTATAATGATAAACATGCAGGTACGAAAACCTAAATACAGTTTATACTTGCAAATAATAGTTCCAAAAATTAGTTAAATGGTAAACAAAAAACAATCTATAGTTTCATTTCTTTATCATTTAATTTACAAAAAATATACAAAAATGTTTACATCTTAATATACCTACTTATTACTAGAAAATCAGCATTTGACAAATTTAGTCAGTAATTATCCAAAATCAATACAAAGTCACACAAGATAGAATCTCCATCATAAATCTGTAAGTATGCGATTTAATCACATGACTTAATGAAAAAATTAAAGTGCCAAGTATGGATCAATTTCGTGGATCCGATCACTATCGGCTATGAATTAAAGCTATCGCTGCGACGAAATTTATAGTTTGTCCACTGATATTTGGAGGTGACTTCAATGCGGCTAATGGGCTTAGGACGATTCATTGTTTAGCCCCGCTGTAAATGTGTTCATCAAGACTGTTTTTATATAGTTTGAGAAATTTTCGAGTAGGTATAGCACCGATACTCTCGCAGGTAAAGAAACATTCATGTATCTGACAGTTTATTACAGTAGACGGTTGTCCGGGCTGGTAAAACCCCCTTAATTAGTGTAAGCTTTAGTAAAGTTTTTGAGAGGAGGCAATAAACTAACATCCTACACGGACGACTGAATTTGAGGAATCCTAATCAGTAGGTAATCAGTACCGACGATAAGACTAATCCTATTTCTACTCGCAAATATACCTCATCTAGGTGCAAATAAGATAAAAGCTTTCTACTTACCTGAAAAATATGTTTTCAAAACGTGAAAAGTTAACATTTAATCTTTTTACGCTTGGTAGAAAAAAATTGGTCCAAAGAGTTTAGACAGTACTTTCCTCGCTGTCGGAAATGTGACTACTGAATGCCTATTATGTTTTTTTTTTCGCAGTAGATTTCAAAGCATTCGGTTTTGTAGTTCCTGAGTAAATGAATAAAATAAATTTAGGAATTTGTTATTTTTTTTTGAGTCACCCGCTATATGCAAATTCAAAAAATATGAATGGGATGATAAATTACAAGTACACACTCATCATATTTTGTACATTCTAAATTGGATTTATCCGGCAAACTTTTGAACTGACGTCATCAGTTTTTTGGAGAAGATAATCAAATATATTTTGACTAAAAATTTATTATGCTCTTTATAACCTTAAAACATCTGCAAAATTTCAAAACATTCCGTTCTGTAGTTCCTGATTAAATCAATAAAACACATTTATACGCATTCATTATTTTTTTTGGGTCACCCTGTATATGCAAATCGAAAAAATATGAACGGAATGATAAATCACAAGAAGAGACTCATCATATTTTGTACAGTTTAGATAGGATTTATTCCGCAAAGTTTCGAGCTGACGTCATCAATTTTTTGGAGGTGATAAGCAAATATATTTTGACTAAACATTTATTATGCTTTTTATAACCTTAAAACATCTGGAAGATTTCAAAGCATTCGGTTTTGTAGTTATTGATTAACTCAATAAAATAAATTCACGCATTTATTAATTTTTTGAGTCACCCTGTATATGCAAATAGAAAAAATTTGAATGGAATGATAAATCACAAGAAGAGACTCGCCATATTTTGTACATTTTAGATAGGATTTATTCAGCAATATTTTGTGCGGGCGTCATACATTGTTTAGGGGGGACGACCAAATAAATTTTGATCAAAAATTTACCATGCTTATGATAATGTCAAAACATCTTCAAGATTGCAAAGCATTCGGCTTTGTAGTTCCTGAGTAAACCAGTAAAATAAATTTACGCATTCATTAATCTTTTTGAGTCACCCTGTATATGCAAATCCAAAAAATATGAATAGAGTGATAAATCACAAGTACAGACTCATCATATTTTGTACAGTTTAGATACGATTTATTCCGCAAAGTTTCGAGCTGACGTCATCAATTTTTTGGAGGGGATAAGCAAATATATTTTGACTAAAGATTTATGATACTCTTTAGAAACCAGCAAAAAATAAAATAACTAAAAATTAAAAAAGTGTTCAAAAATCGGAAAAAAACGAACTAAAACCGAAAAATTATAACAATAAACATCGAAAAGTTTAAGACTTTGGGAAATAGAAAATAGAAAAATTGAAAAATTGTAAAAAAAATAGAGAGAGGAAAAAACGCAAAATTGAAGGAAACATTAAAATGTCTAAAAAACTGAAAAATTGAAGAATGGAAAATCGAAAATTTGAGGAACTGAAAAATTAAATAATCGAAAAATTGAAAAGTTGAGGCACCGAGAAAATTAATAATCAAAAATGAAAAACTTAAAAATTTTAAAACTGCAAGATTGAAAAAGTAAAAAATTTAACAATTTAACACATTTCTAAAAAATCGTAAGATTGAAGAAACGAAAAATTGAAACATCAAAACTTAAAAATCAAACTAAGTACTAAAAATCGGAATACTAAACATAAAAATTAATTTATTTTGTTTAGTTTGATTTATGTAATGAACACTTTCGTAAATAAATGGTTGTTATTTAAAAATCTAAAAATTTAAATCGAGAGACTGAAAAATTAAAAATCGAAAACTAAAAGTTGAAAAATTCCAAAATTCCAAACCACGAAAAATTAAAAAATACTACAAAAATCGGAAAAAATAGGAACATTGAAAAATTAAACTGCAAAACTTAGAAATTAAAAAATCCGGAAGGAAAACCAGAAAGAAAAACCCCAAGATTGCAAACCACCAAACAAATAAAATCACTAATCACTAATCACGAATCACTGATCATTGATCGTGATTTCGTGATT